TTTTTATGGTAATCCTTTGCCAGTAAGTTGCTTATATTTGTTTTGCTTTTGCATCTTTTTAATTTCTACTTTAGATTTTTTTCTGATTAATAAATTGTTGCTCTAACTTCATTTTCATTGGATTTTGAGCAAGTTTTTTTGAAGTTATTCTATTTTTATTATGTAAGAGTGTGTGTAATATATATATATATATATATATAAAGAAATATAGTTTTAAGGTGTGCTATATTTATGGGATAAAGTGCTCAATATCAGAGTTAGAGTGTATGTAAATATAAAAGTGAACATTGAAGTCAACACTCAAAGGCAACAGGCTGTTTCATGCTGGACACAATCGTCAGGCCATGAATGTTGGATTTTTTTTTGATTATTTATATATATATGAGTCAGTGGTGCATTGTGGGTAATCTATTCTGGTGGTTATTTCTACGGGAGTGGCTTCTTTGTTTATTTATTTATTTGTTTGGGTTAATTTATTTTACTTGTTTTTCATTTTCATTTTGTATTATTTCTTCTTTTTTTTTTTTTTTGATGTTTTATCAACATTTAACATTTGGTGGGGGATTTGTTTATGTCGGTTATTTCATTGTTTGTTTTGGTACGGGAAGATAATTAAAGCTTTTTATTCATCCAATATTTAGACTGATTGCCGTAATCTATTCTGTTATTTTGAGGCAGTGGGGTCAGTTTTAATTTATTTATTTGGATGATTATTTTTACTTGTTTTTGCTTATTTTTATTAGTTCTAACGGTTAATTTAGCAGGGGCAATTTGTTCATTTAATTATTTATTTGGGTTAATTTTTATTAGTTTTTTTATTTTTTTTTTTTGTATATTTTTATTTATTCTATTTGGTTTTCGATTTTTGGGTAACGTTTTTTTTTTTTTAATCGATATATAGCGGTTATAGCTATTTTTATGTCCAATTTTTTGATTGGTTGTTGTCTATTCTGATGGTTATTTTGGTGGGATTGGTTTTTTAATTTGTTTATTATTTACTTATTTGGGTTGATTGTTTTTACTTGTTTTTTTTTCTTCTTTTTCTTTATTCTATTTTGTCTATTCTAACGGGAGTGGTTTGTTAATTTGTTTATTATTCGTTTGGGTTAATTTATTTTACATGTTTTTTATATTATTTTGTTTATTTGTATTTCAGTTTTCAATTTTTAAGTAACATTACTTTACTACATTACTTTAATCTTTTTAGACCCTTCAAAATTTTGGTTAAAAATCTTATTTTTCTGCTTTTAACATGGTACCATAAATTTGTATGGAAAATTTGAGTCTTTTTGCAGTGAAAAAAAATCAGATAATAGTTGGATTTTAATGAAATTTCAGGACTTATTCAGAAATTAATTAAATTACTTTTTAAATTTCTCTTTTTTTCTTTTTTAACATCTGTTATCTACTCACCATCACATTTAATTTTATGAAATTTTGATGAATTCTTTCTTGTAGCACTTAATGTTTATCTGTTTAGTCATAAGGACATGTCCTTGAAGAATATTAATTTTTGGTGGATTCAAACAGAACTCTCATTACAGAAAATCTAATTTTATTCGTAAAATGAAAAATGCATTAAAACTAAGACATTATTAGAACAGCTTTTTGTCTCTTTTATGAATAAAATATATGGACAATGAATAATGAATTTTAACAAGAATTGTTTTCATTTTTTTACATTTTAATTAGAATAGTTTGTAAACTTTTAAATCTTTCAAAATTCTGTATAAATTTGTCAAGTGTTATTAAATAAAATCTGTATTTCCTAATCATAAATGGAAAAGCTTACTACAATTCAGCAGCAACTAGTATTTTTAAAATGATTTGGAATTTTTTGTGTGCTGATTTTTGTAACTATGGATGTCCACACACAGCCTTATCAGAAAATAAGAGTGATAACTAGTGGTAATTTTCTAACATTTCCTCAATATGTGTCTTGTAAGTAAGGCTATAAATCCAAAGTATCTAAAATTCAATAAAATATTAGAATATTAAAAATATTTTAAATTTTTAAGATTATTGGGTAGTTAAAAATTATATAAAACAGACATTTACATTGTATTCATAATGTAATTTTATTACAATTATCTTCTCCTTAGATAAATTTCCCAAACATCAGGTTCTTTAACCACTACTTGCAGGTTAAAAAAAAATAATCCTTTTCTGTGATATTTTAAACTAAAATTAAGTAATAATTGTTTCAGTTCAGACCAAACTTTGAATTCGCTGATTTTTCTCAACTGATAATAAAAAAAAAATATAATTCCAATCAATTTAAATTCAGTTTTTAATATAGCAAAGTATTTTGCTTATTGAAAGTGTTAAATTTAATCTATTAGCTTGGAATTAAAACTAAAATAAAAGCTTCAAGAAAGATTTTTCATTTTTTTGAAATGCTTTTTAATCCTTAAGTATCGCATATTTTTTATTTGTTTTATTTTTTGGAGATATATACCCAATCAAGTAAGTGCATTTCCTTATACATTTACCTACTGTAGATATGAAATGCTGTGAAAACCTTGAACCAATTAAAATATAAAATATGTGCAATTTTTTTCAATATTTTTATTTAAAAAAGTAAAAATGTTTTCAATTGTATATTTAGTCTGAAGCTTTCAAAAAATAAATCACTGAATGTTTGCAAACACCTACTAATTCTACACTTAAGCATTAGTATTTTGTAATAATAATTTTGTAAAGTGATAGAAACTTACTATCAGTACTATATACAAGCCCCAAAGGTTAGATTAAATCATACAGATAAGAAAAGTATATTGATGAAATACCTGATTTTAAAAATTGGCTTATGAAGGTAAAAAAGTTAATACATTTTTTTTTTTTTACTGTAAGCAACTGTGGGGAAAATTGTGAAAATGGCCTACCTTGGAAACACCCGTGAATCTGTGCATCATGAAAACGCCGATTACTCAACAATAAAAAGAACCAAAATGGCGGTGCCCATGTTTTATGCAGGGCGGTCTCGGACAGTTACGCGAAATCTCATTGTCTCCTCATTCGCATGCAAATCATGGTCGGTACTCAGCTGTATAAAGAATGGTTCGTTTTTGTTTCTGAGGACTGTGTTTTTTTTTGTTTTTTTTGCTGGTGAGAAGGTTGGATGTGTGACACTATTTTGTTGGTTACCCTCCTCGCATTTCCTATCTGCTACTATCAGTTGAGTTGTTGCTTTACCACCACAAGCTATTTCGTCAATGGACAAGTTCGATTTAAAATTGATCCCAGAATATGACGGCTCCCCCATGGGCCTGACTGTCGTTGAATGGTTTGAGAAGGCTGAACGTGTTTGCAGGGTGTCCAAAATAAAAGAACCTGCACTGGTCATCCCACTGAGACTCACGAGGGGAGCCTACGCCGTATATCAACAACTCGGGGACAATGCTGACCTAGAGGAGATCAAGAGTGCCCTATATACGGCCTTTGGAATAGACCCCTTCATCACTTGGAAACAGTCCGTCGAACGACAGCTTGAGCCAGGTGAGACAGTGGATGTCTATCTGGCCGATTTGCAAAGGCTGGCGGTGCCGTTTGGCGGAGCAACAGACTGCATACTAGGATGCACCTTCCTGGCAGGACTCCCCAAAGACACCAGTTGGCTCTTGTGAGCGTCCTCAAGATTGGACACACTGGGAATTGATGAATTGCTAGCCAGGGCCCGAAACATCTTGAAAGACACAGTACAGGTCGCGGCAGCCGTGAGAACGCCTGAGACACCGCGGGAGGGCCCATTGGAATAGAGTAGTGAGAGGCTTGCAATATTCATTTGTGTAAAAAGGATTTTTTCCTGTGGAAAATAATTCATCAATCACAAGTCTGTGTAGATGAACTCTAACAAGGATGAAAAATGAAGACTGGGCAACTCCAGCCCAGATATAGTAATGGTACTCTACTTTTGGTTTATTCTGGCTTTGATGATAGTAGATCATAGTAGGAGGAGTCTGGTAATTACTAGAGCAGTACAAGAAAGTGACTATTTTCCCAGCATCTTTAGTGATCAATTGTATATACAACTCTTACTTGAGGTCTGGAATGAGTTTGTCTTAATAGGCATTCAAGGTCAGCTTGGTGATGAAGGAATATTAATAGGTATTGAACAAATTGCTTAAGTTACATGTTATGATATTCTAAATGATTATTGAATCTAGATTGGCACAAGACAAAATTTGTGGGATGGGAATTGTGTTAAGGCAGGGGCCAATCCCCAGGCCACATCTGATCCACGGAGAATTTAAACGTAATAAGGAATTTGCATTCTTTGTTGATTATGTTAGTTGTTATCCTGTTATTTCTGCAGTAAAATAAAGAACCTTGTTTAAATAATATAACATTAATTTTGTTGCTTTTTTTTTTTTTGTTTAAACCTCCAGACCAAGGCAACTTTCTGGAGGGAATGGTCTGAGGTTAAGACAATCTATTATAGTGCATTTGATATTATGCCATTCCTCTGAGACACTACATAGCTGTCTGGCCAGCTCTTTTTAAAAGGTTGCCAACCCCTGTGTTAAAGTGATATTTCAAGTAGAGTTTAAAGTTTCTGTCTAGAAAATCATTATTTTACTTGGGCTTTAGCACTGTCCTCTGGCTCTTGTTTGAAATATATGACTATTTTAGCCACAAGTTTGTCAATTTAATGTTATCCCTTTTGTTATATAAACAAAATATTTCAGCTTGTGTAGACTTCTGCATCTGTTCTTCATCCAGTTATTATTTTCAAATAAAATTATTCTCTAAATTTTAATTTGATTCCAGGAATTTTTCAAAATCATTTAATTTCAGTTTGTACTTATGAGTTTTCTCTATCTTATTGTTTTCTTCTTTTTATCATAATACTAAGGATCTATAATAAGTGAAAATGTTACATCTATAAAACCACAAAAAATATACATATATGATTTGTGTATGTTTAATTTCAAATTAAAGTTGGTAATATAAATGCAAAATGTTACATTATTTAATATAATTGTTGTATTTGTTTGCAGATATTGTTGAAGGTAATCTTAAGTGCATTATGAGATTAGTCCTGGCATTAGCAGCTCATTTCAAACCAAATTCTGTAAAACACCAATCTGTTGCAGGAGTCATATCTCCAAACAGAGGCCGTTCTTTGGCAAGTATAGCTCAGGTAAGATTTTGCTATAAATCAAATTTTAATTTTGTAAATTTTAACCAAATTGTATTTGAGGAGAAATATTGCCTATATTTTCTGTTGTATGAAACATTACTGAGAGGAATATTTCTCCCTAGTGTTTTTACTCTTGTTTTATTCCAAATATTAAGACCAATGTGGTCTCTGGTCATCTTCAAGTATCAAGGTTGGCATCTTTCATGGAACTTTAGATTTTTCTTTTAAGTATTTTTAGAAACAATTTTCATATTAACATTATTGGTTTTTACACAACTTATTTTTAAATATTGACTATTGTAAATTTATACTCATAATTTTGTACCAAAATGAAAAAAATCTTATTTAGATCTTATTTCAGAAAAAAAAAATTGTTTCTAAGTTTCTTCTGAGGCAACAATAGAAAGAGAGAAGCTGAATGCAAATAAATGACTAACTGCATTTCTAAATCAGCGTTTAGCTACAATGTGTCATTAGAGCTTAAACATTTTTGCACATCTTTTTGTTTTCCTTTTTTTTTTTTTCCCCCAGAGTGCTGCTGTTACCTTGGCAACGGCCCGCAGATTTGTATCAAGAGCCAACAAACATGGAACAAGCTATAGAGATTATGGGTAAGCAAGGTGACAAAGTAGAAAATCCATTTTGTTTAAATGACAGTCACTAAATCTCTTCTTCTTTTTTTCTCTCTCTCTCTCTCTCTCTCTCTCTTTATTAGTCTACTCCAATTTTACTAATTAAGTGACTTACAACTTGATTTTTTGTGTGATTAATCCTACTGCACAAAGCCTCACAATTTTCACTTAATTTTTATAAGAGTTATTCCAAAGCCTTGGAAATTTTATTTTGAGAATTAGTAATATAATTTTTCCCAAATTTATTAGGCCCAGAGTTAAAGGAAAAATGTCTAGAACTTTTTTTTTGTTTTTTTTTTTACTTGTAATCAAATCTACAGGGTGGCCTGAAAGTCTTGTCACCCCAACATAATATAATTTTCTTTTTCATATGGCTGTCACGAGTTTCTACAGCTTGGAAGAGAGGTGAGGTGACAAAACTTTTGGACTACTCTGTAGATTTGCATTAGAAAATACCTATATTTTGATTTTATTACAGCTGGATCAAATGTTAGTGAAATGGACTTAGGTATTTTTCATTAATTTAGTTATTCTAGATCTTGTGTAATTTTACTTTTTTTTAATTTTACTTTTTTTAATTGAAATCATCCTAAGTAAGGAAGTAAAGCCACTAAGACAAAAGGGGTTATTGAGTGTGAAAAAACTAGAAAATAGAAGCATTATTGATGAGCAAGAACAATAGAAGTGTTTTCAGGAAGACAGAAGATAACAATTGGCATTTTAGATTGTATCTTTTCTTCTACATCAACTTCATGTAAATTTATGAAGTATTGAAAAAAATTTATGAAGTATTGATAAAATATGAACATAAAAATAAATACAAACCTTAAAGTTAAAAATAGATAAATATAGCCTTAAAATTTCATGCAACAAATATAAGCAAATATACACTTACATATCAAAGTTTAAGAATAATATCATACAATATATAATCAGTATTTTTTTTTATATTTTTAACCAAAACATCTCTTGTGCCTTACACCATTTTTTAATTGAAACAAAAAAATAGTTTAAATAAAGATCTATGTCTCTTCAGGACATAGTTGATCATGGTCCTCCATAGCTTCACTTTTTTTCTCGTCTTGTTTTCCTTCAAGATAATGTCTTTTGCTATTTTCATTACACTTCCTCTTCATGAGATATGGAAGCTGGTTAGTAATCCTGTCAGATGAAAAATAAGACATATCAAAGGGCGGATAACCTAAAGTATTAATGGCCACTTAACTAGAGGTGGCGTCGAAATGAAGTCACAGGATGACAGATGAAATTATCCAACAAATGAAAAAGAGACGGTAGGAATGGCAGAGAATATGGGATGTTAAGCAAAGATATTAGAAAGAAATGTAAGCATGTTCCAACAAGAAATTTGCTAAAATAGAGACACTATGGAACAGGGACATAGCAGGCATGTATAAAAAGAGAATAGAAATAAGAGAGAAAACATATAATATCTATCTATCTATCTATCTATCTATCTATCTATCTATCTATCTATATATATATATATATATATATATATAATATTTATAATAAAAAAGACTTGCTTATAATAGGAAAAGAACAAATACTACAAAGATGTAAAAAATACACTGCAGAACTCTTCCTTCTTTTCAAAGAATAGAAAAACCTAAAATACATAAAAATCATGGAAGGATTTGTAGTATTGAAATCTGATGTAAGATCATCAATGACCAAGATGAAGAGAAACAAAACAACAAGACCAAATGGGGTTGTAGTAGAGATTCTGTCAACCTTAGACATTATCATTGATAAATGAATGACAGTGGTAAAATACTGGAAGGTGTATCTAGTTCCTTCGTCATAGCAATGCCAAAGAAGCTGGGTACAAATGAATGCAAACTTTTTGAGACAATCAGCTTAATGGGTTACATAATGAAACTTATGAGGTTAGAGCTGATAGCAGAATTAGATTGGAAATAAGGCAAGAATTGTGTGGTTCTGTTCAAGACACTGGAACAAGAAATGTTATCTTTATAGTCATGTAAGAAATACAAATTGAGATAGATTAGAAGATTTAATAAAGTATGACACAAATACCTACTTGAAGTGCTAGGAAAGCTTGATTTATATGGAAAAGATATTAGAGTAATCTATAACCTTTATTGGGAACAAACCACTTGCATGAAGATCAGAGAATGTTTTCAGTGAATACACTAAAATAGAAAGGGGAGTAAGACAAGGATGCATTTTCTCATCAGATTTATTTAACTTTTACAGTGAAATAATTCAGGATTTATTTTTGGTGGACATAATCTTAACAATATAAGATATGCAGATGACCTATTGATGACACTCAAAAGGATAAGTGAAAGAATTCTTAGATAAGGTAGTGAACAAAAAAGAAAAACGACTCACTATTAATTGTAAAAACACATACATGGTAGTTGTTAATTAAAAAAAGACAATGTAAAATGTGTATTGGGGACATTTAAAATCAAGCTGGGACAGGAATGTAATTATCTGGGTAGTGTAGTAACATGACAGAAAATGTGACACAGAAAACTGTAGATGCAAAAGATGCCTTCCAGAAACAAAGTAAAGTATTAAATGATAGGAAAGTTTATTTTGAGACAAAGGAAAAATGCTGAACTGCTATGTAGGTGTCTGTTCCTGAAAAATAAAACTCTTTGATTCCCAGGTGTAGGTTCTCACTTTTTACCTGCCATGTTTGGTGCCCTAGGTAAAAAATCAGAATTCATGAATCAAGTAAAATCTTCCTTTCTAAATTCATGGAAAATTATTGAATACAACAGACACAGGAAGGCTGAAGAATAGACTGGCCAAAATATGATAATAATAACAAAGATAAGAAAATGATGGTCTAAAAGTATTATTATATAATAACTTCTCTTGTGTGTAACAGAGAATCTGGTCAGTCTGATAAAAGACTCTGAGTTAGTTGTATGTGGTGCTGTAAGCACCAGGAGTTATGTCCTCTTCCACAATAGGCTGTTGAGAGAAGACCTTCTACTTAGAGTGGGTTGTGCTGACTATTTGTATATGAATGTTACTGGGCAGGTATTAGCCTATTGTCAGTGTGGGTCTGGCACTGGGAGAGCTATATAACACAAGTTTTTTTTTTTTTCTCAGCTGGGAGAGGTACTCTTTACATGAGGACATGAGAAAACCAGACAAGATGAACATATTGTGATTGGGGAAAAAAAAAACTTTTTTCTTTTATAATTTTCTCACTAAAAGTAGAAGAAACAAAATTCTACTTTCTTTTTGTTTTTGATTTAATACTTTTAATTTCTGAAATTTAGGTACAATTTTTTTAAGACACTGTAAAGATTTTACTGTGTAAGTTATAAAGTAGATATTAACAAAAGAGGCGGAAACTACAATTTCTGCGTTAATTATATGATCAGTGGTATGATAGGTCTTTGCTTCAGTACCTGCAGAAATCTGTAGCTGTCATCCACATCAAATGAGTTGCTAAAGATCCTGTTTACTTGTTCAGATATTGTCTATTTGCTCCACTCCTGAGGCTATTTTTGCTACAAAGCAATCATTCACTACTTTACTAATGATTACAACTATTTTCACTCTGTGTTTATCTCTACAATAAAAATAATCTATACAAAGTTTGGTCTGTTTGTCTTGCTATGCCTTTATGAAAAAAAATGTCTATCTGCAGACCTGGCTCTCATTTGACAACTGATCTAGCCTCGATGCAAGCCAGAATGATGAGACTCAAGTCTCACCCTGCAAACAAACGGCCCCTCAGCACAGGTGACACAGGCGATTTTGATATGGATGGGATGCCACGGAGTCGATCAGCTGGATTTATCCACGGTAAGACAGAATTGTTCTTTCCATTTTTTCTTTTCTTTTCTTTTATTTTTAAGAAGAGTTATGATGATAGTTAGTCTCTCCACCCCCTCTTTGTTTGTGTAATAACATGACATGTGGTATTAAATCTTCAAGGGAGCTCAATGTAGGATTTTCCATTAGAAATGTCCGAGGCATGTAATGGTCACATTATAGGATTAAAAAAAGAAAAAGGCAAATTGGCATGAATTATGATTTATATTTATAGTAAAGGATAAGGTTAAAAGAATTAAGAAAAGCATTTAATTACTATAAAATTGAATTAGTGCCTGAACTTGTCTGGATTGGAACTCATTACTTAGCAGGGTTTTAACTAGTTTAAGCTAGCAGGAAAAAAGATTACCCATTCTTCACTCTCAGAAAAAAAGCTGTTGAACTAAACTAGAAGGTCATGCTAAGAAAAACCTTGGCCAACATTCAGTAAAGGAATTTTGTTATTATTCAATACTTCTGCCTTGATTGTTTATGAGATCATAAATTTAATTGACCACTTTTGTATTGAATTGGGAGGGGGTTTGAATTCACAAAACAAATTCCCACAAATCTGTTACTATATCCTGTAGAATAAATGACCATAGTTATATGTAAATAGAAGAATTGACCAACAAACAAAATTGACAAAGTTTGTAATGAACAATGAAAAAAAAGAACTAAAAAAAAAAATAATATTAAGCAAGCAAACAATATATGTAAGACAAAGCAACTGTCATAAGGCAAAAAGTTCACAAACGAAGAATTGGTGTTGATATACAAGAGCAAATTCAGATAAACAAACATAGCATTCTGACTTCAAGATGCCAATGTATTTGATGTAGGATAAGGGGTCCTTTTGTAGAAAAAGCAAATTACTTCTGTAGAAAATGGAGGAGATAAATAAACCAGGTTGTAATACTAGGCCAAACCTGTTAAGAAAGTCTTTTGTCAGTTTGAATTGTGAAGAGGAAAGTGGAATGAGATTATTAATAATAATAATAATAGAGTAGAGCTTGCATGTCCTTTGATAAACAGACATGAAAAGAGATTTGAATCACTTTAATTGACTATGGCAAAAATGAATAAAAAAAATAAATTGCTCCACATTTTAGTAACCTGGGCAGATGAGGGGAGGAGAAATCTACTCAAATCAATAATTGCAATGTTAGTAAGTAGGCCTTTGGTTGAATTTCTCACCACCCCCACCAGTGTTTTTTTAAGCATTTTACCCCAAGCAAGGCAGGAGTGCCACTAGCATGCAAGGGGTTACATAGAGTGAAAGTAAGAGAAAAGAGGAGTGAGATTGAGGAAAAGATAAAAAGAAGAACAGGGATCAGGATCAAGGCATCAGAAGATGTCAATTACATTTAAATTTTTGAAGATTACAGTTATCAGGGAAGCAAGTAAGGGGAAGGGAGTTCCACTGTTGGAAAGTGTACGAGAAAAATCTGTTAGAGTAGAAGAGGCAGTTACATTTAACTGTTTCAACAGTAAAAGGATGGGATTGAGATACCAACCTAGAAGCACACTTAAATTCTTGCATTCCTGGCACAAGTGAAAATAACTCACAGAGCAGATGCTATGAAAATATTTATAGAAAAGACAGAGGGAAGCCACATTTTGTCAGTGAGAAAGTGACTGGAGTCAAGACAGATCACATTGCATATCTGTCTCTGGATTTTGTTGAGAAACTCAAGATGAACAGCAGGGGCACCCAGATAATATATGGCAGCAGTATTCCATGCAAGGACAAATGGTTGATTTGTAGATTTGAAGGATAGACTCAGACAAGAAAAACCTTCTGGCACGACACAAAGAATCAGCTTTCCTTGCTGTAGATGCAGCTATTGATTCAATGTAGTTGTTCCACTTCAGGTCATTGGAAAATGTGAGACCAAGAAGGTGAAGTTGAGCATCAACCATGCTGATAGGAGGGTAAATGAGAGCAGTTTTGTTTTGGAGGCATTAAAATTTATGAGTCATTTCCTGCTTCAGTCAACCACAGATTGGAGGTCCTTTCAAGATCAACAGCCAGGTTAACTTTGTCTGCAATGCCAGATTTGCTATTGAGACAGGAGTAAATGGGAGTGTCGTTTGCATAGATGCCTACTTGAGAACTGATGATGATGAACAAGAAGATCATATTGAATTATTTGCATAATAAAACCTGGCACACCCAAACAACTTATCAACATTTTTAACAAAAATAGAAATTATAAGCTGAAAAAGTACATTCCTGAAAGTTTTACCATCTGAGTTAGCCTCGGTGAAAATGTGAATAAGCAATAACTGAGCCATACTAAATAACAAGATGTCCTAGATGGTAGATTAAATAAAGGATTCAGCTTGAAATTTCCTGAAGGTTATTCAGATCAACAACAGCGTGTTGTTGTTATCACAAGGTTTATAAACCTTGTGATAACAACAACAACAAAGATGAGGACAATAGTCCACATAAAAGTAACAATAACTCCTCATCTCAGAAGTTCAGACAAATTATTTCACCTGTTATTTTTTCAGTTGTGTTGATAATTTTCACCGAGAAGCCGACTTTTAACCTTGTTAAAAAAGGCTAAAATTTAGCCATTCAATTAGTTCCACATTCATCACTAAAAATGTTTCTCTTTGTGCTGTTTACTTAAAGATGATAGTTTTGTTGCTTTCATATCTTTAGCCAATGTTCTTAATATTCTACACTTTTTTTCTCTGTTTATATTCACAGCATCAGCATCTTCAAAATGTTTTCAATTTTTTTTTGATTGTTCTATGATTATAATTCAATTTTTTTCTAATGTCTAACTTTATCTTCTCATCATGCAATAACTTCTTTATATTTTGCTGTTATATCTTATGACCCATGGCAGTTTTATTTGTGAAATTTAAAAAATAAATATCAACAACTATACTATTATATATATTTACAGCTTGTATAATATCACATCACTAAATTAATTATTGTGAATTTTTCTAATAAAAACAATCATATTTTGAAATTCACATCATATATTTATCTCCTAAATATATCCTGAAAATTTGCTCAACATCAGGTGGTTGGTACCAAATTTATTGCAAAATTATTGATTTGCATAAATAAAATCTGACATCTGAGTGTAATTCCTGGTCAAGGAAAACAGATTTTTAATGCACAGCATACAGCATTACCTGCTAAAACTTACTAAAAAGATTTATGGAAAGAAAAAAATTAGAGGTTAAATTCTACTTTTAAACATTAGTAATCCTTTACTGATTTTATTTTATGGCTCTGTGAATGAGAGCTTCTCTTGTATCCCTCTTTATTCCAGATTCTTTTCAGATTAAGATGTCAAAATCTACTTGACCTTGACACTTGCTGAATATTTATAGAGAGTAAACAATGCATATGAGCACAGTTAGGTAGTGGGTAAAGCTTCAGTAATGGCGACAGTTATATGCAGTGTTGATCACTTGCAAAAATGCATAGCCAATGGTGGTGACTATAAAAAATGTTTTAACACTGAAAATTTGCTTTGTCTAACAGTGTTATTATGCTCCTTGTATCTGTTTCTTGGAGGTATTATTTTTGTAGTATCACTTATATTTTGAAAATTTTACCATCTGCTTACTGCCAATATATATTTTGTTGTGTTGCTATATATGTAATCATTAAAATGAATGAAAGCTTTGATATATTTAATAAAATTCTACCCATGATATTATAGATTACATGAAAGTATTTTTTTTATTTTTCATAAAATATTAAGTTGGTATATTTATGATCTTCATTGTGTACTGTGGAAATTGAACAAAGAATTGAACCACGAATAATTCGTTTTAATGATATGCATCTTTACAGAAAGGAAATCTTAAATTTCATTAAAGAATTACTCATAAGAAAGTGGAAACAAAAATAACATCACGATTCTTGGATGGTTCCATGAATAAATTTCTGAAATCAGGAAATAAAGAACAGTTAGAATTTCCATCTTGCAATTCATTTTGTGTGTGTGTGTGTGTGTGTGTGTGTGTGTGTGATATATGTTTCTATTTTATGTTGCTTCTGTTTCATGTTGATTGCAGACAGTGAAGACTCAGTGGAATATGGGCAGGACTGTTCTGTTGTTCTTGATCAACAACAGTATAATGACCTGATGAAAGAATATGATGATTTGGTTGACACAATGAAACAAACAAAGAAAGATATCCTCAAGTTACAAGACTTGGTAGGTGTCATTCTCACTTGACATTTTAATTTTATTTTTCATTAAATGTTAACATTGAACTGATAAAATTGATCTCCTTGCCATGGAACATTTCTAGCAAGCTAATCTTGCAGACCATTTCTAAGTTTGGTCCTCATTTGGTACTTCAAACTTTTGGCGTTGTGCCAGACTAAGCTAAATTTAGTAAGTAAGTGATGAATTAGTATAAGTTACTATCGTGTCATGTGTGTTAATATCAATGTTGTTTAATCAGCTGTTAAGAGGTCACATGTTAGCTAAAGTGGACAAATATTTCCACTTCATTCTCAATGCAACTGATGTATTTTTCCACTTGTCAAATCTACTCACCTGACTACATTCTGTTCATCAGCAACTATTTACCTGTCCAACAGATAAAATGATTTATGCTTTTGGCTTAAAAAAATGAAGCTTTTATTCTGATCCTCAGAATTTTGCTAAAATTGACACTCTACCTTCAACTGAACTTGAACTATCTTCTCTCTATCTCTTTCTATGTATTTTCATATTTGAATCTCTTTGTCTAAGTGAAATTTCTTCCATACTAATGCTACAAGTTATACATTGAATGAGATATGCATCTTGATGTTTATAGTTATTCCCTAAGTTTAGCCAAGTCTGCTACAATACTACAGTAGTGAAGCACCCAGTGAGAATTGAATCAAACTTATCTCACTACTTACTGCAAGGCAATCTTGTTGACACACTATTGTACATCACCAACATCTTGCTATTTATAATTTAAAATTATATAAACATACCTTGTTTTACTGTACACAAAAAAAGAAAACTAAATACAACCAATTATACTCCTAACAACATCATAAAATTCATAATCCTACCTTCTTACACTCTTTCACTCTTTCAACTAAACTTGTAAATAAATTAGTTTACCCTAATACTAATATCTTTAACAAGACAAAGATATAATTAGAAAGAAAAATAAATCCAACACTAATTCAGATGCTGGTACTTATTAAATAAATTGCTTACAGTTGGAGAGATATCATGGAATCTAAAAACTCATATCTCTGAACATAAAAGAGATTTACGTTTAGACAAACATTCAAACTCTCTTGTAATACATAGGAAGAGAACTGGTCATAACTTTGATTTAACAAATGCCACCATAATTAAAAGAGAATTTAATTCTTTACATCAATAGTTCTTTGAAGGGTTACTAATAACTATACTACCAACTATAAAAGCACATAAAAAATATTGTTACATCAACCTTTATTGAATCCATTTTTAAGGAATCTAATGTATGTTCATCTAAAACTAACAGTATATATGTGAAACAACATGTGAAAAACCAACAAACATAATGTGTACTGTTACTACTAACACACACACTTACTAATATACATTATCTCATTCTTTGATGAAGCTTTAATAAAAGTGAAACGTTAGATTGATAAATGGTTCCTATTTATTCTTTATGTTATCACACAAAGCTAATAAAATATTTAAATACTACACTTTTGATCTTAAAATTTATTACTGAAAGCATGCAGTAATATGATTCAAAGCTCGAGAAAAAATATAGTAAAAGCTGGTCATAATATTATCAATGTTAAACACACACACACACACACATTAATACTATTAATTTCCATAGAAAACTTCATTGCTCAATGACTACATCTGCTGTGTATTATCATGTCTTTTCTTTTTTCTTATAAATATTTTTAAGAAAAGATGTGTAAGAATTTAAAAAAATAATGGATAGTTTAAGTATAGTATTTATTTTATAAGATAATTTTCTAAAAACTAATCCTTGAAGACTGTCACCTTTCATGTATACCAAACATTAGTTTAATAGATCTTTTACCAAAATCTTTAGTTAATATTTCCTTATCACATCTGATCTTTATTTTAAGGAATCTGATGATGATAAAACAAGGAATCACTACCTCAATTTGCATTTTGTCACTTATTCCACACTACCATTCTTGCCAAGGCTGGTAATGTGAAAAATCTTGTGCATTTTAATCCATATCAAAGATGGTGATACTCAAATATTTTGGAAATTTAGCTATGAAGAAACATTATTAACCTAACACCTAGTTTCCATCATCATCTCTAAAACAATACCTTGAAGGACACTCTACATGGTGTTCTTTACTAAGAGCAAAATCATAGTGCAACTCTTACTTGGAACTGAAAACCTATTTCAAATCTCTTCATTCCACTGGGAGCAAAGATTTTTAGGTTCAGTTTGGTTTTGTGGTAGTTTCCTGTTGTAGTTGACTTAAAAAAATTCAAAGTAAAAAAAGGTAGAGATTAAAGAGCATAATCAATTTGGCTCAAAAAGTTAATCCTCTTTATTTTGGTATATTTTTTCTTTACAATTAATATATAATTTGGCAGAACTTCAGATCCATCACTTCCCACCCTGTTAACAATGGTGTAAGGAAATGTTTTATGCCTTTTAATCTTTGAACTAATCATCCCCACTAAAACAGTTTTAATGAAACCAAAACCATATTGGAACTATGAATTCTGGAATAAAAATGTCATGAAGCAAAATAAACATGAAAGTTAACATTTTCATTTATTTTATTGTTTAGAAATAACTACTATATTTGACGGCATATAAGGCACACTTTTTTTTACTAAAAATATTTTTTAAAATTCCCCTGCATCTTATATGCCATATTTGTAGGTTTACTAATTTTACTAATTACAAATTTTTTCTTGATTTGCCTTGCTGAAATTGTTGCATCTTATACACACTCTGTCAAATATGGTAATTGTTAGGCTGACTTATTTTATTATAAATTATACATTTTTATGATTAAGGAAGTAAATGTGGAGAAAAAACTGACTCTTCAAAATGCATGGTTTATCGTCAGGGTTAACATTTTGTTCATAATATCTAAAAATATTGGATTAAATTTAGTGAATTTATGACATTTTACATAACAATGTTCTTAAATGATTTTTCGTTAATTTTATAGTATAAAATATCATGTATGCTCCTATTTTATATTTTTAAATGTAAACTAAAATAAATTCAACATTTTTTTTAAATACTTGAAAAAGAAGAAAAAATTATTCATAAAAAATTAAATTTTAACATCAATATATTTGTTGTTATAAATAACAATATAGAGAAAAATATTAAATTAACTTTATGTAACAATAGCATTTTTATATAAATTTCACAGAATCAAAGAAAAAAGTCTTTGGAAGAAAACATTAAAACTAAAAAACAAAAAGAAATAATTCTTTGGGGAAAAAAGTCTGTTAAAAATTAAACATAATTAACATCATTAAAATTAAATTTCTTGGGACGTCCTTGTGTAACATTTGTAATAAGACTAAAAAAAATATGATTAAATTATTTATTTAAATCAAAATGTTACATTTTCATATAAGAAGCATGGTTAAAATTAAACATATTTTTCATTTGTTAGAAATATAGTTTACATAAAAATAATGTTGATCATTAGTTTATTTGATTTTTATGAATAAAATTTTTATAGAGAAGAATATTAAAGTGGAAAATGTTTTTCCAAGTAAAAAAAAAAACAAATTTTGTACCAAAATGTGTTTTTGCAATGAAAAATAAAATAATATAGCAAATCCAAAGGAAATAAAATAAATCTTATACTACAATTAAATAAGCTGAAGATATTTCAAATGTAAAAATGAAAAATTTCTGAAACCAACTCTAGCAGTGAGCTGAGAGTAAAAATCTTTGCTCCCAGTAGAACAATGAGATTTGAGATAGGCCTCCAGTTTTGCATGAGAGTTGCACTATGACTTCGCCTTAGTGAAGAATGCCACAAGACTAGAAATTAGTTGCCGAGGTACTGCTCACAAAGGTTAGTGGCAAATGTTTATACTATATTTAGTTTATGCCAACTGTTCAAATTACACAAACAAAATCAGTAGCCAACTCTCAAATCAAGTTTGAGTTAAAAAGCTGAGAATCTTTTCTATGATGTGCATTATATCAGTTTACATTGCAATCTTCCCCCCCACCTTAAAGGGTAACTTTTCTTCTCTGAAGAATGTAATCAGATAGTTTTATCTCCTACTAAATGGTTACTGAAACACTTAGTATCCCCAAATCAGTGAAAATAATTGATATTGTACCTCTGTGTTGAATTTAATTTCTTCAGTAGTTGTTCAGCTACAAGAGAAATTAATAACAACAAAACAATCATAGGCCTGTTGGTGAAAAGAGAGGCTGCTGTGCAACTTCAGTGCATTCCTCCCACCCAATCTTCTTAATCATGAATACAAATATTTAATCGTCCACTAAAATAGCAAGTCAAATAAATGTATTGAGTAAACAATGAACACAATTTACAAGTAAAATGGATCAAATATCTTCATCTATGCTGTTGGCAAGATGAAATAACATTTTCTTTTTGTAATTCAACATTGTATGTAAACAATACAAACAAATGAGAATGAATCTACTGCTGTGTGTATTGAAATTAGTTTCTTGTTCAACTTTAATTACTTCATTTAAATTTAGAAGTAATGTGTCTAAATACTATTAATGGCTATTAGAGATTTTACAAATGCTAAATAGGCTCTATACTAGGGTTCAATATGTTTTTCTTTCTTCTCTTTTTACAGTAAGTCATCTGACTGCCAAGAAAAGAAAAATGTCTCAGTTTACACATCTGTCACAAAATGAAATCCATAAATTCTATAAACAAAACCCTTTTGAATAAGTTTTTTTTTTCTGTTTACTATTTAACAATCCTAACCTTTATTTTTTTTTATCAGTCAATACAATGTTTCAGTTTTCTTTCACTTTAGATTGTGAGGATGTAAGCAGTTTTGTTAATTCTAACCTGATCATTTGGTTATCGTCTATTTCTGTAGACAGAGAATTTCTGCAAGATATAAAGATTAATTAATAACCCTAATATTTATATCTTTGTAAATTCTGTTTTCTACTCACTATCTAATAAAAGTATTTTTCCCATTTAATCTGAAACACTAAGGTTATAAATAATAAATCATAAACCTTAATAAAATACATGCTGTGAATTAGGATAAAAGAATTGATTATTTTATTTAAGAAATTTATTTAAAAGCATATACTTCATTTGATGGCCCATAACAAGCTTTTGTTTTTGCTTGCAATTCATTCAAACCAATAATTGTCCATTCCAAGTCTTGGAAGAAGGAAGACACCCGCCCCAATATCAGTGCATTGGATGCAGTATGATAGTTCTATAGTCATTTTATTATCATTTTTATATGCCAACAAATATATTTATATACTAAAACTATATAGTTAAAATTATACTTTTTAATGAATAATTATAGAATGCTGTGATTGAAGAAGAGAGTTTACAAAATAGACAAAAGGCCATTGCCAGTTCATTTAAAAAAAAGAAAATGTTTTATTCGATTGTTTATCCGTGGATTTTAAGAAAAGGAAATATATTAAAAGTGATTTAAATATACAAAGGGAAGCTGATAAAAAATCTCTGTCCCCATTTGTCAAAGTCTAATTTTTTCTTTTAATCTCTTTTTACTTGGTAACTAACATATATATATATATATATATATATATATATATATATATATATATATATATATATATTTTTCAGACAATATTATTCATAAAAACAAGTAAAAGGAACTAAAAGCTTTTTGAAATTAATATCTTTGTTTTATTGAGTTTTGTATGTTACAATTCAGAGCTGATTTTTAAGGTAGGTGGTGGTCACCTAATAAAAAAATGAAACATGATTTACTTTCCTCAAAGCCCTGTGCTATTAACTAATTAATCACTAAAAATGTACACATTTGACTTTCAAGAGTTTTCATAAAATTAGTTATGGGGTGGGGGGTAATAAATATAAAAAAAGATTTTTACCATGTCTTTAAAAAAAAGAAACATATTTATAATAATTGCCATCATGTGTGAATAGTTTCTGAAAGTTTCATTAAAATCAACAATTATTTTTATTTTTGCAAGATTTTTAAAATTAATGTCTGTCATAATAAAAAATGCATAAAACATTTTCTATTTTATTTACTAGTAGTTTTGCTGATGAAGAGAAACAAAGTTTTTCAATCAAAAGTTAGAATGTTCTAATAAAGACAGATTAATTTTTAAAAATAATTAAAAATTACTTTTTTCTTTCCTCTTAATAATAACATAAACATTTTGACAATAAAATTTTGTTTTTGTCAAGTTTAAGGCTGTTATTATCTTGCTATGCTCATTTTCCAGTGATCTCACACCAGTACCTAATTTTATTGAAAAAATTTCCTCTTTAGTATTTCAAGATATTTTTGTGTAATTTAAATGACAATTTATCCATCACACCCTTATTCTCGGTAGAGACTTTAAAATGCTGTTATATTAGTCATCATTATTATTTACAGTCATTATTATTACATTTTCAGTTCAAGTTGTTGATTTTTGTACATCTATTTTTTATTTGTATAATTTTTCTTTTTTGGTGTTTTGTAGTTGTTGAATGGGGAAACACAAGATGGGGAAACACCACAAATCAGTTCAGATACTGAATTTGAAGGCTATTCTGTGACTGACCAATTGGTAAGTTGGATTTTTTCTGCTTATGTGATGGTTGATTGTGTGGCAAAGTGTGACTGGTTTACTCAGATTCGATTTTACAAACTAGAGAAAAGTAACTGCTTGTAGTTGATCTGAACAAATAACTTAAAATTAGGAGTTTTGCTCACTCAAGATAGACCTGATGCCATTTCAAGGGAATTGATGGATGACCTGCACTTGTGTAAGATAACTTAAAACAGTGGTCCCCAAACTTTTTTTCTCTGTGATGCATTTTTGGAATGAAAATTTTCTTGCACCTCACCAAATTTTATGTGATGAAAAGTACATTTAGAAATAAAAATGTTGTGGAGATGAACACACTTCTCCAGAAGAGGACTTGAACTCATCCAAATACATTAATGCAGACACTGAGAATCATCAGTAGAAGGAGTAAACAAGTAGAGAGCTAGAGATCTGGCTTATCTGCTTACTACCTATTTCAGCAAGACTACATCAACTCCAAACGACATATTACTTCTTGATTGTTTTATCTTCATTCAAGGCAATGAAGACATGACAGTGGCGACAAGAATTTGAATTCACACACAAAAAAATAATTTGTTTCCTCTTGCTTAGCATAAATAGCTGTTGAAACTCAAAATTCACATGAAAAAAGTAAAAATTTAGGTAGTTTGTATATTTATAGTGTGATGTGGAAATCGCTAAAATTCAAGACTGTATAATTTACCGCTATTAGGGAAAAAAAACTTCCTAGTTAAGGACTACTTGTTATGGACAAATTGAAGATATTTATTCAGCAATTATTACAACGAATGCAACAGGAGTGGGTTGAATATCAAGAACAGATAAAAGCAATCCTGGAAAAACAAGGAACAGACAATGTGTCAATTTTGTTTTCGCTGAACTCAATCTCTAACTCAATTAGTAAATTTCATCACATCCCAGAAGAAAACATTACATTCCAATTGTACTTCAGAAATTATGAGGCCATTTTCAGAGAAGAATGTCAAGGATGGTTGGATGAAAAGAAGGTACATCTTCTGTTATGAAAATTGTGCCTCACTGAACATGAAAAATATCTGAGTGTCATTTAACAAAACATTGTTGATATCATCAAAAATTTGTGGTGAAAAAGAATATGCTGTTTTATACACGTTGGCAGTGCATGAACCTTACTCAGGATGAAACTGAAGATTTTGTCACATATGCCAGTAAAGTCAACCATGAGTTTGAGAAATTTAAATGGCATGAATTATTACCAGACAAATTTAAATGTTTAATTTTCATTAAAGGTTTGACATCAAGCAACAATGCAGAAATACACACTTGAATGCTTACTAAACTTGAACAGGATTCAAAATTGATAATACAGACTGTTGTGGAAGAGTACCAAAAAATTGTCAATTTAAAGCATGATGCAGTGGAAATTGAGTAAGATAGCATGACAGAAGTTCAAATGGTTTGGAAAAAAACAGTAGTAGCAAAAAAGAAAATCCAGAATAAAAATACTGGCAAACTTAACCCATGTTATGGCTGTGGTACCCTTCATCTCAGAAATGACTGTCCATTTAAAACCAAAAAATATGTAGAAAATCAGGTCACAAATGAAGCTACTGCAAATCAAAAAGAAAAATAAATACACAGGTTAACTTGATGAAAGTAAAAAAATATGGAAAGTTCAAATAATAGAAAATTTGTGACGGTACAAATAAATAATGCTACAGTGAGATTTCCGTTGGAAACTGGGAGCGATATTACAATTATTAATGAACAGATTTGGCAAACCTAACTTGAAAAAAACTATGAATTACATTAAGTCGAAATGAAGTGAAACTAAAATTATACCCGCTAACAATAATACAGTATTTTCTATTTGTGATTGAGCACTTTTATATGTGGATAGAGCTGTAATTCCATTATCACTACAAAAAAGGATTTTAAAGCAATTCCATGTAAGACATCTGGGAATAGTGAGGATGAAGTACTTGTTGAGAAGCTATGTGTATCGGTCAAAGTTGGACAATAATATCCAAAACACAGTGAGAAAATGCAATGGTTGTAATTCAGCAGTAAAATCATCACCTATAAATTATCAGGTATGGCCAAGCAATGATAAACCATGAGCAAGACTACATCTGGACTTTGCTGGACTACTAAATAGTTCATAATATTTAATTGTGATTGACAGTTTCAAAAAATAGCCCAAGATATTGAAGTGTAAATGGCCTACTACTGCCTAGTATCCGATAATGGAACTCAATTTGTTTCAAGTGAATTTAAAAATTTCTACACATGATTGGACATTTGACTATGCTAATTTATTATCTGAGTTTGAATGGTCAAGCGGAATAATTTGTTGACACCTTCAAAAAAGCATTAAGAAAAGCTAAGGGCTTGAAAGCTGAAGAAACAACACTACAAGAATTTTTGAGTGTGTATCGAATGACTTCAAATGCAAACATCACTGTGAAAATGTCACCTGCAGAGCTCATGTTTGCTAGAAAAGTTAGATCCATTTACAGCCAGAAAATAAGAAAAAAAATTCAAAAATTTCAAACTACCAGATCACTTAAAATCAGTGATTAAAATTTTCTTTAAAAGCTTTAAGGCTGGAAAAGAAAATTGGCAAGAAGGTAAAATTATTCAGTGCCTTGGTAGTATGATGTACATTGTTGAAAGTGGACGATTTCGTCATAAGAGACATAAATCAATTGAGATCTAGATATGAACAGAATAAGCAATCAGTACAATTTAATTTACCGATGGACATAATTTACAATATTTTTGAAGTACCTATTCTTACAACTGAAAGTACAATACAATGTCAGGGTAAGCGAAAACGTAATCTGACTGAAATGTTGTAAGTATAGTGTTATCATCATTCAAGGTAATGAAGACATAACAAAAAAAGGAGAGATGGTTAAAGGGAGATAACTGTGGATTCAAAGTCAGAACATTATCATTGATAACTCTCTCCTCCAATTTGCTGACCCTAGTTACTACATTCATAATACTTGATATAATCCAAAAATATTACAATGCTAAAATCAGTCAAAAATTATTTATAACTACTTATACTGGGATACATGCATGCAGTTACGAGTAATCCATAATAAAATTTTAAATTTTGAAATCATATTTTGGTATACAAAAATTTTTGAAACTGTTTGTAAATCTTTGATTGTCTTTCAATCATTCCACCTCACCTGCTATCCTCTTCCACCACACTGTTTGGGAACCACTGACTTAAAACCAAGAGATAGTCAAAATTAGGGGTTCCAAGAAACCACAGAGGGGAAGTATTGGCTGAGAAAAAAACAAAAAAACAAACAGGGGCAGAAATCCTGAATCAAGAGATAAAGATTGTGTAAGTTGGAAAAAGAACCCTGGTGGGTGGGCTCACAGGCTTTCCATAAGTGCAATGTTAAAATGAAATTCTTCTAACTAAAACATTTGAAATTGAGTAGAGATTAAAATTTCTTAGAGAGATAAGGATTACTTAATGACCCAAAATTGGCCTAATTCCTCAAGCTAAGGAATGAGGAGACAGATGCCCTGAAACTTGTAAGGCAATTGGAAATTTTTTGAGTATGAGAATTTCTTAGATAAAGATTAATTAATGACCTGGAACTGTCAAAATCAGAAAACATCAACATGTCTATGGCCTTTTAAGGATGAAAATCCTCTGGTGCAATGACAAATTATCTTTTGTTTAGATTTTCCATATAATTATAACTTCTTGCTAAAGTCTTTGAAATCTACCTGGTTGATGTTTGTTGTTGGAAATTTAATTCTTTGTACTGCGAAAACCAGCTGAATTAACACTTAACATCCAGCCATAGATGCAAAAGCTAAGGTACAGCTCCATTTATCAAGATGTCTTGACATAAAATCATTTCTAATGATAAAGAACCAGACATGTTCTTCCCTTCCCGTTTCTTTGTATATATATATATATATATAGCAGAATAACACTGATCTAAAACAGACATATCCCATCCTTAAATAAACCAGTATAGTGGACGTATTGGCAAAAAGCAAATTTGTATCTTTTATTTCTGTTGACATATTTAATCCTGTATTGAAAGAAAAGCAAAGAAAAATAGAAAACTCAAAAAGTAGAGGCGTACTGATGTGTACTTTTTTTTTTTTATGCTGCTAAAGATTTCTTAAGAAAAATGAATGACATCATGTTGGCAAGGAGTTGGGATCAACAATATGATTGCTTGTTATTATTCAATGGTTAATGACCACACCTGTCCATTATAGCAGAAACAGGTCATTGATTGGATTGGTCAAGATAGATGATAGTGTTATAATTGTATGTTCATGTTTTTTATACAGTTTATTTTCTTATTTGAACACTTTGAATAAAAGAAAATGTTTTCTAACAAAAGTGGAAATTAAAAAAAAAATTAAATATTTTTTAAGACAACTTCATTCAAACCACTTTTGCATTTTTAAAATTTAAATTTTTTTTTTTTTTTTGGTTGGACTGAAAACTTATCAGCTCACCTTCATATGTACAATTTATATAAATGTAATATTTATTTTATATAAAATTGTATAAATGCTTATAAATACACACAATATGGTTGTTTGTAAATACTGATGTTATTTTCTTAAATTTAATAGTTTTATAATTGGGATTGTTAAAATAACAATTAGATATAAAACTAACATATTTTATATCTTAAAAATTCATTATATATTAAAAAAGTTATAGGTTTGTAAAGTAGTTACATTTTATTTTTATCAAAACACTTTGCATATGGTTAATTGCATTTTCTAAGTAGATATATGTTAAAAGCTTTGTCACTATTTTTATCAACCATCTCCTAAGAACTTCAACTTTTGTTGAACATTGTTAGACTTTTCTTGCATAATTCTGTGATGAAGAACCATATTTTGTAAATGCAGTGTGTGTGTGTTAATTCTTTGTAATTTCTTTCTCTTCATTTTCACTGCACACTATACATTAAGTGCTATCATTTTCTGAAAACACTTTTTAAATTAACAATTGAAAAATTCTTGTGTTTAATTATAAAATATTCCCACTCCCTGCCACCAGAAATATTTAATTTGTTAGTGTTAACAAATCTTTCTGCTGGACCTTGGATGATAAATCGACATAGTCAAATGTTTACTTGCATAGCTTTTGCAGAAATTTTTAAACTCATTTGATGTAAATTAAATTCCATTATCAAATACTACACTGTCAGGTACTTCAAATCTTGCAAAATGTTTGCACAACAATTTAATTGTTATTGTCATAGTAGGGCGTATACACTTCAATATCTTGGGCCATTTTGTGAAACTATTGATCAGGGTTAAATAGTATGAACCATTTAGTGGTTCAGCAAAGTCCATATGTAGTCTTGCCAACAGTTTATCAGGGCTCGGCCATGCCTGATAATTTATCGGTGGTGATTTTGCTACTGAATTACAACTATCATATATCTGTTAAAGTTTGGCTAATACACGTAGCTTCTCATCAAGGACTTCATCCTCACTATTCACAGATGTCCTACATGGAATTGTTTTAAAATCCTTTTTTGTAGCAATAATGGAATTACAACTGCATCCATATACAAAAGTACTGTATCACAAATAGAAAATGTTGTATTATTGTTAGCAAGTTGTGATATTACAGGCAGGATTTAATAAACAAATACATTTAAACTTTCATTCCTCCTAATAATTACAATAAGATTGATTACATTTAGGACCAACAAGTATAAGCAATCTTTCTTTTCACTTTCAACTGACTTTACAGCTACTCCACCAATCCCATACTTTAGTCATTCCTTACACTAACAAATTATATATTTCTGGTGGTAGGGAGTGAGAATATTTTATAATTAAACACAAGAATTTTTCAGTTGCTAATTTAAAAAAGTGTTTTTAGAAAATGATGGCACTTGATGTATATAGTATTAGGTTACATAAACAACTAATTGTATATTAATAACCACTTCACTTCACCCAAGTTCATTTTCTTCAATCTTTACTACAGATTGAAATCTTTGACTTATCCAAGCAATATCCAAGCCTTTCAATAGAATTTGAATGCTTTGAATTTCAATTAAGATCATCTTGAACTACTTGTCAGTTTCCTCTTTATATTTTTCATTACATTATTTTACTGGTCTTCATCTTGGATCCTTTTATTAAAATACATATTTTGGCATTTTTTTTTCCTCCTGAAGTAAGCAGTGAATAGTTTTTTTTCTTCCTCCTCTTCCTCAGGTTTTACTCCGCAGCAGGCTTCAGCAATCAACTGAGGTTTGTACTGAATTGCAAGAAGAACTCTCCAAGACAAAATTGGAATGCAGAGAGCTGTATGGCATCAAGGTAAGAATTGTCCTGATAATTAAAGCTGTCATCACCAGTTGTGGTCTGGATATCAAAAATGAAGAATTAAGTTTTAAAAACTCTTATATTCCTGAATGTGGACACACTATCCAAAAAAAATCACTAAAAAATGAGTTTTATAGTTTTATATAGGTTTTGTTGTCAAAATCTTTGTTATTATTAAGAGGAAAGATCAAAGGATCTTTTGATGTAAAAATTGTGTTTTTTTTTAATCCTTTTTAGAACATTTGAAATGTTTGTTAAAAATCTTGTCTCTCTGATTGTACCATAAATTAGTATGGGAAATTTTAGCATCTTTTTTTTTTTAAATCATGAAATTGTTTTAAGAAAATAAAACTTTTTGAATTTTTACAAGAATTGTATTCATTTTCTAAAAATTTTAATTAGCATAATTTATAAACTTTTAAACCTTAAAATTCTGTCTTACTTTGTAGTGTTAAAGTGATATTGTTATTAAATTAAGACTATTTACTAATCATAAATGGAAAAGCTTACTACAATTCAACAACTCCATCTCCGAGTATTTTAAAATGAATTTTGGATTTATTTTATGTGTGTATAAACATTTCAATTTTTGCAAATATGGATGTCTAGACACAATATTATCAGAAAATAAGAGAGGTAGCTCTAGTAAAGTTAAAATTTATTGGTAATTTTCTAACATTTCCTCCACATGTGTCTTTGTAAGTTAGACTATAAAGGTAAAGTACCTAAAATTCAATAAAATATTTGATTGCCTAAAATACTTTCTTAAATTTTTAATATTACTTGTTAGGTAAAAAAAGATATATAATAAAACAGGTATTTACAATATATTCATTAGTAATTGTTACTGTTATGTCACCTTAGAAATAATTCCTAAACATAAGTCTAGAAAGCATTGTCAATACCTCATAAAAATACCAACCTTCATGTTAAAAAATGTTTTTCTTTGATATTGTAAACTAAACATAAATAATATTTGTTTCAAATCAGATTATTTAAACTTTAAATCAGCTAATCTTCAAATAAAACATTTTATTTTTGAAAGAAATTTTTTAATAAAGAGAATTACATTGTGCTGACAGATTTGTCAATATGGCAGATTTCATCAATTTTACTTAATTTAAAAAAAATCATTTCAATTAATTTAAATTCAGTTTGAAATATAGGAAAGTATTTTGCTTATTGGAATTATTAAATTTAATCTATTAGCTTAAAATTAAAACTAAAATAAAAGCTTCAAGAAAGATTTTCCATTTTTAAAAATTCATTTTAAACTTTAGGTATCACTTTTCATTGGAGGTACCTACTCTATAATAGTCCAAGTTTGGTTGGATGCTGTTCATATGATAAAATATAGGTACCTCCTCTATTTTGCTAAAAAAAAAGAGCATACCATGATGAAAAAATGCTCTAAACTTGATAAAAACAAAGTTTTATTGTCAAAATCTTTGTTATTATTAAGAGAAAAGACCAAAATAATTTTTCAATTATTTAATTATATTTTTTAAACGTCTTTAGAACATTTGAATTTTGGTTAAAAATCTTGTTTTTCTTATGTCAGCGGTAGGACAAAAATTTAGTATAGTAAAATTAGTATAGGAAAGTTTAGCATTTTTTTGTGGTGAAAAACACCTTGATTTAGAAATTTTTGCAAAAAGGAAATAATTGTTGGGTTTTAATGAAACTTTCAGGACTTATTCACAAAAGAATGAAGTTATTTTAGAAATTTTTTTTTTTTTTTTAAATCTTGGTAAAAAATATATATATATATATATTACATCTCCCCCGCCGCTACCACTTATTTAATTTTATGAAATTTCAAAAAATTAAATTTTCACCCCTTAATATTTATATTAGTTAAAAGCGGAACTTCTTGGAGAATTTAAATCATTAAATTTTTTTTGTGAAACAGAAACACCCGTTACTGAAACTCTGCTCTGTATAAAAATGCAATAAAACCAAGACATTATTAGAAAAGCTTTTAATTGCTTTTATGAATAAGCAGAATAGAACAATGAATAATTAATTTTTGCAAGAATTGTTTTCTTCTTTTTTTTTTTTTTTTAAATTTTAGTCAGAATAATTTATAAAGTTTCAAATCTTTTAAATTTCTGCATTATTTTAACCCTTTTAGGGGATATTATTATTAAATAAAAAACTAAATTTGCTAATTATAAATCAAAAAATTTAGTACAAATCATCAAACGCCAATATTTTAAAAAGAATTTTGAATCTTTCTTTATGTTTATAAATATGTCAATTTTTGTAGATATGGATATTCATACACAACATTATCAGAAAACAAGAATGATAACTATAGTAAAATTAACGACAAAGTATCTATAAAACATTAGATTATGGAGAATATCTTCCCAAATTTTTAAGATTACCAAGTACTTAAAAATTATATAAAAAGGCACTCACATTATATTCTTTAGTTATTTTTTTACAGATATAACCACTCTAGAAAAACATTAGATAAACTTCTATCTGTCATCAAGCTGTTAGCACTTTAAATAAGCAGCTACCACCATGTTAAAAAAAATGCATTTCTACAATAATATTTTAAACTTAAAGTAAATAACATTTGTTTCAAATCAAATTAATTATACTTTAATTTAGCTAATATTCCACAAATAAAATTAAGGGATGTTAAAGAATCTGTTATAGACAAGTGTATGGTTGCAAGAAAGAAATACGACAACAGTAGAAATAGATTTACATGGTTTATTTCAACAGGAACATGAGGGTTTGGGACAGCTACCTTGTGGTAAAGTTCATAAGCCAGCTTTCAGATCTAGGTCGATCTCTTATAGTAGTTCAAACATGTTGACGGTGGTTGATGCTCCCTTGCTTTCAGCTGCTGAACTCTCGGCCTGACCGTAACAGGTCTCCTTTGTGGCCACCTGTTGACTGCCTGTTGAACTTCCGTGTGACCCCTTTTATAGCGTTTTTTATGGCTTAACAGGCTTAAAGAACGAAGTGAGTATAATTAGGAGGGAAGCATTTTTATTGGACGAAAAATAGAGCACTTTAAATATTATTTTATTTTTCGACTGGAACACGTGTGTCGGGAACATTTGTAAAGAAAGATAATGGTCATTTTGTGACGGGGCTTTGTCCTGTTCACATCCGGTTCTCGCTCTTGAGTATTTGCCTGTAAATCAGCCGAGATATGTCTTATTTTATTGTATAACAAAGCTCCCCCAGATTTCGGTCTGATTTATAGTGAGCGTTATTCATGTATATTTGGGTGATTAATTCATGATAAAGTCTCTGAAGCGTGTGGGAAGTTGTCCTCGTGTTCTTCTTATTGGCATTTGTTTTGGTATGGAATTATTTGCTGAATTATGTGTCCCTGAGGGATGTGGAGGAGAATGATCCTGGTGACTGTTACATGGTGGGGGCAGAGGGATTGTATTAGAAAGATGTGTTGGGCGTGGAGCCAGTCATCGGATATGTGCGCGGTGAATCCAGATTGTATCACCATCATCGTTTTGCACCTGACACATCATATTGTTCGTTTTTATAATGGTGTAATTTCCTATCCAGGGCAGATGAGAGGATTGGGCTACAGTTGAGTGTGGCTGATGAAGAAAAACCTTGTCGCCTACTTGTATTGGGTCCTTGTATGTGAGGCGATTTAAGTTAGTCTCAAGTTTGTGGTCAGCTTCATCGTTGGCGGGGTGGCGTGGTGGTGAACCTGCTTTAGCAGGGCATTAATTTGCATTCCATATGCTCCAGGATAAATAAACTTGTGATTTCTTTTCTGTGTAATGTAGGTAGGCCGATGTTGGGGTGACGGCCGTTAATGGCATAGTGCGGGGAGACACCGGTGGCACTGTTGGTCGTGGCATTCATGGACGAAACGACAGATTCTAGAATGTCTGTCCATTCATAGTTCCTGTCTTCGCATAACATATAAAGTGCGTTCTTCATCGTGCGATGTTCTCTCTCGATATTTCCTGAGCTTTGCGGGTGCCAAGGACAGTGAAGTTCTTGTGTGATTGACATCTGGTTACAGAATTGTCGATAGACTTCTCCAGTGAAGTGTGTGCCTCGATCAGAGGATACTATGCATGGAATCTCTGTGTCGAAGGAAGAAATGGTACAATCCAGGCGGCGTCGATAGCACGGTCTCTCGGCGCATGGTATGGCTGTAAAATGTCGGCTGAAGCTATCCAAGATGGTTAGGATGTAGCGTTTTCCCTTTGAGTTGGGCATGGTCTCTTTCCTCGTTTGCAGTGGCCAATGGGCCAGTGGGTACGTCTACCATAGTTGCCCTTGCAATTAGCACACGTGTCGCAAGAATCGACATAGGCCTTGATGTCGCGGTTTTGAATTCCACCAGTAGCTGGAAAGGAGTTCTTGACACGGGTAACACATGAGTGGTTGCTGCCCTCGTGTGCCTGGTAGAGGTATCTAGGTCGTAGTTTGTATGGTACAACTAATCTCGGAGAGTGTTTACTGTCTCTTATCATCAAAACGGAGGTGCCTGGTTCTAGAAAAAATTGATGCAAATGTTTTTTGAAAAGCGTAGCTCGGTGGTCATCAGGATCGATATGAGGTTCACTTGGAGTGGGTGACTGGAGGGCGCTGATGATCTTTGCCAGGGCGTCATCCTTCAGTTGTTCATCTGTGATGCCGAGATGGTTGCAAATTCTCTCAGTGGGGATGGTGGTGGTGGAGTGGTAGGCAAAGAATGCGTTGGTGACGCACTTGTGGATGCGGGCGTTTTGTGGTGTGTGAGTTTTGGGAATGAGCTGTAAACCGTTAAACTCGCCGAGGCACCAAGATGGGATGTATACGTGGAGGTTTGAACTGCTTACCTCGAATGTCCTGCCTTCCGGTGTAGGGTCGTTCGGGGCTTTCGTTTTCTTATGTCCGCAACCTCTGCTGAGCATGTCAGCCCATACATTTGATTCGCCTTCAACATATTCCAAGACGAATTTATAACATGAAATTTCTTCTTGTCATCGTCGTATTTTGGCATT